CTGCGCGCTCAGAAAGACGAAAGGCAAGAAAATTAATTGTAAAAGGAAAAGGAGATTACGGAAATGGACAAGATGAAGAAATAATTTCAAATGAATCACAAAATTCTTCAGAAATTCCAAAGTATGTAATTGCTGGAATGCCTCAAGAAAAGAGGGAACCGTTTCCATTACCTCAAATTCATGGTTTTCAAGAATAATTTAATAATTTAAACAATTTTATTTTTTACAACTTTTAACTTTACTATTGTAATAAACAGAAATTCATCAAAAGTGACATCTCTCAATTTTTTGACATTTGTAAATTCTAAATTGAATGAGAAAAATGAAATAATACTAAGCATAATACAATATTCTAGATTTAATTATAATTAGGAAAAAGTTAGTTTTGAGAGTACTTTTCATAGGCATATAGAATGAAATCTTCTGAAAAATAATATCACATAAACTCATATTATTTTCTAATATATAACTATTTTAGAGGATGTTTTATTGTCGTCTGGAAAAGTGACAAAATTATTATTGTCGTCTAAAAAGGTGACAAAGTATTATTGTCGTCTGGAAAAGTGACAAAATTATCATTGTCGTCTAAAAAATAGATTTTTCAAGCATGTTTCGGTACCTAAATAAAGGAAGAACATCAATTCCATCTATGTATATAGTATGCAAACACGCATGATATATGGAGTAGCTCTTTATCTGGCTAAAAATCCTATTATTTGAAAATTCGTATTGTCGTCTAAAACCGCCAGACGACAATAATAATACCCCACTATTTTATATAAAAATCAAATTCAATGATCTTAAAAGCGAATGATAAACCTCAAAATTTACGAATATAATGAGTGGGAATATAATGCTTATCTATCATAAAACCATATGAAATATCAATTTTTGCTTTACGCCTAATTTTTGACGACAATTAGCAAAAAATGTTAAATGTTAACACTCAGTCCATTTGAATATGAAAAATAAAATTGACTTTGATTAAATGTTTTTATTTATCATGCAATTCTTCTTGCGACCAAAGATTTGAATAAAAGTTCAAAAAATAAGATAGCTTAAAAAATAATATACGGTAGTGTTTACTAATAGATGAATAGTATATAAATTCTATTAAAATGGATTTGATCCAAAAAAATATATAAAATTTGATCATAAATAAAATCGTTTTAAATTACTTCTTCATTTAAATTATAACAATTATTTTTGATTTTTATTTATCATCCACATTCAAATTTGAATCTTATCACAAAAGAAGGACCACTTTTATGACTACTGCCAAATCTATAAGCAGAGAATGGCTATTTGAAGCTAAAAGAAGAATAGAAGAAGGTGAATCTTACAAAAGTGTGGGAAAGGAAGTTGAATTGGAAAATGGTAAAATTAAATTGAATGTTGCCGAAAATCCAATAAGAAGAGCATTTCAACTTCAAGAAATCGAATTACCAAAAGTTAGTCGCGGCAGAAAACCAAATCCACCAACATTTGAGCAAAAACAATTAATTAATTCTTGTGTTTCACAATATAAAGGAGGAATTTCAAAAACTTATTTATTGATTAAAAGGTTTCAAAATATTGCTCAAAATCCCGATTGTGAGAAAGAAAAAGAAGAAATTGCAAAAGAATTTGAAAATATAGAAGATTTGACAAAAGATCAAATTTTTGACAATTTACAAAAAATAAAGCATCATCAAGTGGAAAAATTTATGATGGAATCAGGTTTATCTTCAAAAAGAGATTACAAACCAGCAGATCCACCTACCAAATATCGTGCCATATCAAAGAATTTGATATGGCACTGCGATATTCATTACCTTCACGGTAATGTTTCTTTTCCATTTTTTGCCATATTGGATGATATGACACGTAAAGTTCTCAAAACTAAATTATTGAAAAACAAGTCTTCCAACTCAACAGCGAAGGTTTTAAGAAAACTTTTAGAGGAGTTTATTCCTTACTGCATCTGGACCGATAACGGCGGTGAAAACCGCGGTGAATTCGGCCAGGTTATGCAGGAAAACGGAATAGTTTGGAAGCACACCTTGCCGTATATGCCAAGACAGAACGGCAAGGTGGAGCGCCTGTGGCCAAGCTTAGAAAAGTTTTTGCCAGACGAAGTTAGTATGGGTTAGTTGGGTACTGTGGCACTGCGCACCTACTTACCCATTATATGTGAATTTGACACTTTACAAAACCGTTAACGTATATTTTACAACACAAACGACAACACTAACTTAACCTTAAATATTTACAAAGCCGCCAACCACTTCACCTCACTAACATTTTCACTAACGAACTCACTAATGAAAAAATAAACGTTCTCATAAATTTTCTTCTATATCTTCATCGTCAATGTTAACTCCATTGTAGTCATACTTGAAGTCATAAAGTTTCTCAAGTTTTGAAATGCATAGTCTTGTTAACTTACCTTCATCATCATAAGTTTTTATAAAACTACCATGACAATCTTTATACACAGTCAATGAAAAGTCAACTGGTCTCGGATGTATTTGAAAGAACATGTTATGCTCAGGAAGGAAGAATAAATGTTTAAATGTATGTTTGTTATACTGTGGAATTCGAATGAGTTGCTTTTGTTCTGTCATTTACATCCAAATAAAAATTTTCAGTAAAATAAAAAAATAAACTTAAAAATAAATGATATCACCACCCTCACACGTATGAAAACATAGCGCAAAAATAAATTTAGGTGAAGTGGTGAGATCTCACCTCTTTTTTCACCTGTTTTTTCACCCTGTTGAATTCATTGCTTTATAACTCTCTTCCTTTCTCCAACTCTTCTAACTTCTTCCTAAGTTTAGCAATGTTGTCCTCATGAAGTTTAATCTTTCTCAAAATTCCTTCTTTATCTAATGGTTGCTTTATCTTTCTAAACTGAACTCTACCATCCTTCATAGTATGAATGTAAAAACCTTCTGGAATAGTTCCTGATTTAATGTATTCTACCAAAAACTTTTGTTTCATTGCTTCAGTGACTTTATTTGTCATTTTACTCTAAGGTGAAGCTAGCACAGCGATAATGGATTTCATGACTTTTTAGTATTTCATGCAATCTTAACAGATAGCCTTACAAGTACTTCCAGTGTCCCTAGCTGTCCCTCCTTTTTATATAACTCCATGACATTTATAATCTCGCGAAACTTAACAGGTAGCATAACAGATTAAAATCAGATGAGGTTTTGAACCAAAATTTCTAAGCAACGTTGTCAAGGATTTTGAGGAACTAGGGACAGAGTGTGGCAAAGTCCAAGATTTAATTTATCTTCATCTGTTTCATCAGCTAGCTCATCTAATATGCCAATATTTTATTCATAACTCGTGGCAAACTCACTAACTTTCGTTATGTTCATCTGCATGCTTCATCTGATAGAAAGTATGACTTTCATTAACTCTGTGAGATAATGAAAACTACTAGGGACAGAGACCATGGCAAAGTTTATGACTTTCATTATTTCCAGAACTTAATGAAAACTACTAGGGACAGAGACCATGGCAAAGTTCATGATTTAATTTATTCTCTCACTAACAACAAACACAAACTCCAACACTAACATCAAGTACTAACTTCAGCACAAATGACAAACACTAACAACAAACACAAACTCCAACACTAACGACAAGTACTAACTTCAGCACAAATGACAAACACTAACAACAAACACAAACTCCAACACTAACGCAAAAATAAATGTCCTCACTTCTTAACAAAGTAATATGTGCTTCTTACACCACCATAGCTCAAACGTTTCTTTTCAAACATCGATTGAAACTTATTTTGAGCCATTGGCTTTAGTCTCTTTTTCTTCAAATACGCCAAGAAATCTTCTTCACATCTTTTCACTTCATAGCCTTCTTTAAACTCCTCCTTGTTAAGTTCTATGAAATCCTTTATATCATTCTTTGTTGCAATGGCTTCTTCACGAACGACATCGTGAACTATTTCATCATTGCATTCATGTATGACCTCCTCACTGTTCTCATGAACTATTTCAACACTGTTCTCATGAACGACCTCCTTACTGTCTTTCATAAGCGTTTCAAAGTCTCCTTTACTCATTACTTCAATCTCATGCTGTTCACAGTAGTACTTAAACTCACTGTATATGTCTTTGTTGTATGTTATATTGCTTCCCATGTACTCCATGAATTTTTCAAGCACTTCCTCATAATTCACTGTTTCTTTCTTTCCACGACCTTCTAAGATCATACTTGCTTCGTAAATATAACTTCTTGCAGAACCGTCTCGCTTTCTACTTCTCTTCACAAATTCTCCTCTTGCCACCAAATACATTTGAACTACATGCAAAGAATTCATTCTCCTTCGCAAATTCTTTATATCTTCTGTAGCACTCTGTACAATTCCATCCGGATACAAACTTTTCATAGAACTCCTCGTAAAACATTTGGTAAGGTGTTTTGTTCATTTCGATGAGTTCTTGTTTAGCCCTGGTGAATGGTATCTTCCTTACATCAAATTCACTTAAATCTTTCTTCATGAAGTACGTCAGTAAGTTTGAATAAAACTCTTCATTAAAGCTTTCAATGAGATTTGAGAAATATTCGTAATTTCCTTTGTATCTGCTGCTTACGTCAATGACAACAAATCTTCTGTCGTCTTTGTCAATCTTTACTGAGTTGAAGTTGTTAGATATCATGATGATATTACAAACATTCTCTATCTTTCTTACTGGCTGACACTTCTGATTTAAGTCCAACTGAGTCTCTGTTACTATTGACTTTAGTGCGTCGTGGTTCATGACCTTAGACGTATTGCATGAGCTTAGTTCATTGCATACGATGAGCTTCATGTTCTCAATAGCAGCATTGAATCTACCAACCACATTCTCTATTGCCGTTATATTATTGTTGGCGTACTTGCTAATGAGCTCGCATAGAACATTACTAAGTACATTCTTACCAGTTCCTTGCTTTCCTGTTAACAAAAGTACTGTTCCAGTCTTTCCACAAGGATTTTGAACGATGTAGGCGAACCAGTTCAAAACATACTCATAAAGCTCTTCATCCTCATTACATATGACATCATGAACATGTTTCAAATATCCTTCAATAATGCTTTCATCTACTTCATTCAGTACCTCATACTCATATCCTCTGAAATAGCTGTAAATGTCATCTCTTTCGTCAAAGAATCTCATGCCTGACTTCATAAGATAGTTCTTGTTCTGACCCGCTTCATAAATCATCAGTGCGTTCACATCCTTCTCTTCAATACATCCTACATAAACACTCTTCATGAGCTTATTGAATTCCTTGCTATCTACTGACACAAGTGTTGTTGTGTCTCGTATTCCATCATAATCTTTCACTAGATATGTCATACGTGCTCCGTCAATAACGACAACACATCTTCTTAAGTCATTTATAACACTAGCTATGTCAATACCTTCTTCACTCATGTACTTATTTCTCCTCAAGTCCTTTAGTGTGAAAGTGTCTCTAAGTTCTATTTCAAGCAATTCATTTACACATCCTTTGCAATACTTCTCTATAAAATATTTCTGTCGTTCTTTACTAAGTTTCTTAACAGCTCTGAAGAACCATGTGTTTTGACTCAAACATCCTTCACAACTTCTCTCATTCATTCCTAGTTCTTTCATGTCATTATCTTCAACCTCTATGGTCTCATTGACTAAGGTCAAAGGGTTCTTAGTCATTGCTGGTCTTATCTGAAACAATGTTTGTGCAACAGGTTTAACTAGTTCAGCAACGTCCTTCCTTAATATGAATAGCTGTTTCCACTCATCTTTGCTAACAGTTCTTTCATAACCACTGACAGTAATGATTTCATTTGCTGACCTTAGACGCTTATGTTCTATCATTTGTATTGCTTTTGTGTAAGGCTTTCGTGAGCATAGGTTGTATATGTCATTCCTGCAATGTTCATTCATGCCAATAGTACTAAATCCTTTCTTTGCTGTTGAGTGCATAATATCCATTAGTTCCTGTGTTCGTATTGCTGTCTCATAAAATACAACAAGACCTTTGTCATCTATGACGTACTTACCGAAAACATTGCTTATATTCTTTAACCATGAAATAACATCCTCATTCATGCTGTCAAACATGAAGTAAGGTCTTACATACTCTTCACTTATAAGATACTCCACAAAATACTTGTTAAGCTCTATGTCCTCGTGAGCGATTTCATTAGGTTTGATATTAGTTCCTTTTGTCATTGCTGTCATGTACTTCACTCTCATAGTTCCTTTCAATAGCGTAAAAATACTTCATTGTTTCATAACTGCTCTAAATTCTGTTCAAAATTCGTACAACATAACTTTTTAACATTAGTGAAAGAACATGAGCGAAACAACAACATCTAACATTACAGAAGAAGTCAATGACAATGCCGATGAAAACATTACAGAAGGAGCTAGTGAAAATATTGACGAGTTCAGTGAGGAAGAAGATATTGAAGACGTCAATGAGAACGTTAGTGGGGAACAAACTCAATGGGAAACATTGAGAAATCATGAAGATTATGAGATTTGTACGACATATCCTTTTACTATTCGTCGAAAGAAAGACAAACATATTATGAGTGAATGCTTAAATAATTATGGTTATATTGTGCTTAGTTTAAACAACAAAATGCATTTAAAGCATAGAATTATTGCAGAACAGTGGATTGAAAATCCAAACAATTTGAAAGAAATAGACCATATAAATCATGATAGAACGGACAACAGAATCTCAAACCTTCGTTGGTGTTCTAGATCTGAAAACAATAGAAATAAAAGCAAGTATGGCGATATAGTTTATGAGTTCGTTGATGAAATATCTGACGAAGCTGTTGAAATAACAGATTATGGTAAGCATTCGTTTGAGTTCTACTACTATGTTGAGAATGAAGACGCATTCTATTATTATACAGGTCCTAACTATCGAAAACTTCATATAAACTTTACAAAAACAGGTGCTGCTTATGTTTGTATGATAGATACAGAAAACAAGAGTGTAATTTTATTCATAAACAAATTCAAACGCTTGTACGGCTTCATGTAGGACAAACATTATTTTTCAACACTAACGCCAACACTTAGGACAAACATTCATGACTAACATTACTGTATAACATAGACACTAACTTCATCGAAACTAAACGTAAATGTTTTGTCATGATTTCTTCGTATATGTTTTGTCAAAACTTCATCGTATATGCTTTGTTATGACTTCTTCGTATATGCTTTGTCATGACTTCATCGTATATGCTTTGTCAAAACTTCATCGTAAACACTTTGTCAAAACTTCATCGTAAATGTTTTGTCAAACTGCATCATAAATGCTTTGTCAAAACTGCATCGAAACTAAACATAAACACTTTGTCATGACTTCTTCGTATATGTTTTGTCATGACTTCTTCGTAAATGTTTTGTCGAAACTTCTTCGTAAACACTTTGTCAAAACTTCATCGTATATGTTTTGTCAAAACTTCATCGTATATGTTTTGTCAAAACTTCATCGTATATGTTTTGTCATGATTTCTTCGTATATGTTTTGTCAAAACTTCATCGTATATGTTTTGTCATGACTTCTTCGTAAATGTTTTGTCGAAACTTCTTCGTAAACACTTTATCAAAACTTCATCGTATATGTTTTGTCAAAACTTCATCGTATATGTTTTGTCATGACTTCATCGTATATGTTTTGTCGAAACTTCATCGTATATGTTTTGTCAAAACTTCATCGTATATGTTTTGTCATGATTTCTTCGTAAATGTTTTGTCGAAACTTCTTCGTAAACACTTTATCAAAACTTCATCGTATATGTTTTGTCAAAACTTCATCGTATATGTTTTGTCATGACTTCTTCGTATATGCTTTGTCAAAACTTCTTCGTAATGAGTGTAAATGACCCAAAAATAATGTTTAGGGTAGAAGGGTAGATCTAACCCGATAACTACCCTCTTTCCTACCCTCGTGAATTTACACCAAAAATAATGCTTTGTCATGACTTCATCGTAAACTAAACGTAAATGTTTTGTTATGACTTCATCGTAAACTAAACGTAAATGTTTTGTTATGACTTCATCGTAAACTAAACGTAAATGTTTTGTTATGACTTCATCGAACTTAAACGTAAATGTTTTGTTATGACTTCATCGTAAACTAAACGTAAATGTTTTGTCATGACTTCATCGAACTTAAACGTAAATGTTTTGTTATGACTTCATCGAACTTAAACGTAAATGTTTTGTTATGACTTCATCGAACTTAAACGTAAATGTTTTGTCATGACTTCATCGAACTTAAACGTAAATGTTTTGTTATGACTTCATCGAACTTAAACGTAAATGTTTTGTCATGACTTCATCGTAATGAGTGTAAATGACCCAAAAATAATGCTTAGGTAGATGGTTAGATCTAACCCGATAACTACCCTCTTTCCTACCCTCGTGAATTTACACCAAAAATAATGTTTAGGTGAAGAGGTGAGATTTCACCTCTTTTTTCACCTGTTTTTTCACCCTCGTGAATTTACACCAAAAATAATGTTTAGGTGAAGAGGTGAGATTTCACCTCTTTTTTCACAAGCGTTTTACATGAATTGTACGATGTATATTTGAAATCCTAAACATTATTTTTGTCTGATTTACATCTAATGAAAAAGTTTAGAAGAATTTTCTTATTCTTTCTGGCATATTTTTGTCTGATTTACATCTAATGAAAAAGTTTAGAAGAATTTTCTTATTCTTTCTGGCATATTTTTGTCTTTCCAGTACTCCCGCTCTAATGGTCCCAGATGAGTTGGCTTTGTTGTGAAAGTATGGACATGATTTCAATGATTTTGAAATGAGGGTAGTTATCGGGTTAGATCTAACCATCTACCTAAACATTATTTTTGGTGTAAATTCACAAGGGTGAAAAAAGAGGTGAAATCTCACCTCTTCACCTAAACATTATTTTTGGTGTAAATTCACGAGGGTAGGAAAGAGGGTAGTTATCGGGTTAGATCTAACCATCTACCTAAGCATTATTTTTGGGTCATTTACACTCATTACGATGAAGTCATGACAAAACATTTACGTTTAAGTTCGATGAAGTCATAACAAAACATTTACGTTTAAGTTCGATGAAGTCATAACAAAACATTTACGTTTAAGTTCGATGAAGTCATAACAAAACATTTACGTTTAAGTTCGATGAAGTCATGACAAAACATTTACGTTTAAGTTCGATGAAGTCATAACAAAACATTTACGTTTAGTTTACGATGAAGTCATAACAAAACATTTACGTTTAGTTTACGATGAAGTCATAACAAAACATTTACGTTTAGTTTACGATGAAGTCATGACAAAGCATTATTTTTGGTGTAAATTCACGAGGGTAGGAAAGAGGGTAGTTATCGGGTTAGATCTACCCTTCTACCCTAAACATTATTTTTGGGTCATTTACACTCATTACGAAGAAGTTTTGACAAAGCATATACGAAGAAGTCATGACAAAACATATACGATGAAGTTTTGACAAAACATATACGATGAAGTTTTGATAAAGTGTTTACGAAGAAGTTTCGACAAAACATTTACGAAGAAATCATGACAAAACATATACGATGAAGTTTCGACAAAACATTTACGAAGAAATCATGACAAAACATTTACGATGAAGTTTTGACAAAACATATACGATGAAGTTTTGACAAAGCATTTACGAAGAAATCATGACAAAACATATACGATGAAGTTTTGACAAAACATTTACGAAGAAATCATGACAAAACATTTACGTTTAGTTTACGATGAAGTCATGACAAAGCATTTACGATGAAATACTTGTAAATGAAGTTTTATAAAGTATGATTGGAATTTATTTTTGCATTAATCCTGCTGTGATGTCAAAATGTCATGTTGTCAGTAATTTTAAGAGAAGTTAAATAACCTGGTGACACGTGGTGACGTGGTGACACTGAAAACATCTACCTAAACATTATTTTTGGTGTAAATTCACGAGACCCAAAGGGTCTGAGCCGCTAAGCAGCGAGGGTAGGAAAGAGGGTAGTTATCGGGTTAGATCTACCCTTCTACCCTAAACATTATTTTTGGGTCATTTACACTCATTACGAAGAAGTTTTGACAAAGCATATACGAAGAAGTCATGACAAAACATATACGATGAAGTTTTGACAAAACATATACGATGAAGTTTTGATAAAGTGTTTACGAAGAAGTTTCGACAAAACATTTACGAAGAAATCATGACAAAACATATACGATGAAGTTTTGACAAAACATATACGATGAAGTTTCGACAAAACATATACGATGAAGTCATGACAAAACATATACGATGAAGTTTTGACAAAACATATACGATGAAGTTTTGACAAAACATTTACGAAGAAATCATGACAAAACATATACGATGAAGTTTTGACAAAACATTTACGAAGAAATCATGACAAAGCATTTACGATGAAGTTTTGACAAAGCATATACGATGAAGTTTTGACAAAACATTTACGATGAAGTTTTGACAAAACATATACGATGAAGTTTTGACAAAGCATTTACGAAGAAATCATGACAAAACATATACGATGAAGTTTTGACAAAACATTTACGAAGAAATCATGACAAAACATTTACGTTTAGTTTACGATGAAGTCATGACAAAGCATTTACGATGAAATACTTGTAAATGAAGTTTTATAAAGTATGATTGGAATTTATTTTTGCATTAATCCTGCTGTGATGTCAAAATGTCATGTTGTCAGTAATTTTAAGAGAAGTTAAATAACCTGGTGACACGTGGTGACGTGGTGACACTGAAAACATCTACCTAAACATTATTTTTGGTGTAAATTCACGAGACCCAAAGGGTCTGAGCCGCTAAGCAGCGAGGGTAGGAAAGAGGGTAGTTATCGGGTTAGATCTACCCTTCTACCCTAAACATTATTTTTGCTGAATTCAGCAACAAAATGAACGAGGTC